TTTGAGCCTATGTGTGTCTTTGCACATGAGATGCATCTCCTGAATACAGCACACTGATGGGTCTTGACTCTATACAATTTGCCAGTCTGTCTTTTAATTGGGGCATTTAGCCTTATTACATTTAAGGTTAATATTGTTATGTGTGAATTTGATCCTGTCATTTTGATGCTAGCTGGTTATTTTGCCCAGTATTTGATGCAGTTTTTTCATAGTGTCAATGGTCATTACAGATTGGTATGTTTTTGCAGTGTCTGGTACTGGTTGTTTCTTTCCATGTTTAGTTCTTCCTTTAGGAGCTCTTGTAAGGCAGGCCTGGTGGTGACAAAATCTCTCAGCAGTTGCTTGTTCATAAAGGATTTTATTTCTCTCTCACTTATGAAGCTTAGTTTGGCTGGATATGAAATTCTGGGCTGAAAATTCTTTAAGAATGTTGAATATTGACCCCCAAACTCTTCTGGGTTGTAGGGTTTCTGCTGAGAGATCTGCTGTGAGTCTGGTGGGCTTCCCTTTGGGGATAACCCGACCTTTTTCTCTGGCTGCCCTTAGCATTTTTTCTTTTTTTTTTTTTTTCATTTCAACCTTAGTGAGTCTGACAATTATGTGCCTTGGGGTTGCTCTTCTCAAGGAGTATCTTTGTGCTGTTCTCTGTATTTCCTGAATTTGAATGTTGGCCTGCTTTGCTAGGTTGCAGAAGTTCTCCTGGATAATATCCTGAAGAGTGTTTTCCAACTTGGTTTCATTCTCCCTGTCACTTTCAGGTACACCTATCAAACATAGATTTGGTCTTTTCATGGAGTCCCATATTTCTTGGAGGTTTTGTTCGTTTCTTTTCACTGTTTTTTCCCCTAATCTTGTCTTGTTGCTTTATTTCACTGAGTTGATCTTCAGTCTCTGATATCTTTTCTTCCACTTGATCCATTCAGCTATTGAAACTTCTGTATACTTCACAGAGTTCTTGTGCTGTATTTTTTTTAGCTCCATCAGGTTATGTTCTTCACTAAATTGGTTATTCTTGTTAGCAATTCGTCTAACCTTTTTTTAAGGTTCTTAGCTTCCTTGCATTGGGTTAGAACATGCTCCTTTAGTTTGGAAGAGTTTGTTATTACCCACCTTCTGAAGCCTGCTTATTTCAATTTGTCAAACTCATTCTCCATCCAGTTTTGTTCCCTTGCTGGCAAGGAGTTGTGGTCTGTTGGAGAAGAGGCATTCTGGTTTTTGGAATTTTCAGCCTTTTTGCGCTGGTTTCTTTCCATCTTCGTGAATTTATCTACTTTTGTTTGCTGAAATCGGTGACCTTTAGATGTGATCTCTGAGTGGGCATCCTTTTTGTTGATGTTGAAACTATTCCTTTCTTTTTGTTAGTTTTCTTTTCAGTCAGGCCTCTGCTGCAGGTCTACTGGAGTTTGCTGGGGATCCATTCCAGACCCTGCTTACCTGGGTATCACTGATGGAAGGTGCAGAACAGCAAAGATCGCTGCCTGTTCCTTCCTCTGGTACCTTCATCCCATAGAGGTACCACCTGATGCCAGCCAGAGCTCTCCTGCATGAGGTGTTAGCCCCTACTGGGAGGTGTCTCCCAGTCAGGATACACAGGGGTCAGGAATCCACTTGAGGAGGCAGTCTGTCCCTTATCAGAGCTCAAACGCTATGCTGGGAGATCTGCTGCTCTCCTCAGAGCTGCAAGGCATGGTCATTTAAGTCTGCTGAAGCTGTGCCCACAACCACCTCTTTTTGCAGGTTCTCTGTCCCAGGAAGGTGGGGTTTTATTTATAAGTCCCTGATGGGCCTTTTTTCAGAGATGGCCCACCCAGAGAGGAGGGAATCTAGTGAGAGAGTCTGCCTGCAGCGGCCTTGCTGAGCTGTGGTGGCTCCTCTCATTTCAAACTTCCCAGTGACTTTGTTTACACTTTGAGGTTAAAACTACCTACTCGAGCCTCAGCAATGGCAGACCCTCCTCCCCCAACCAAGCTTGCACATCCCAGGTTGTGCTCAGACTGCTGTGCTGGCTACGAGAATTTCAAGCCAGTGGATCTTAGCTTGTTGGTCTCTATGGGGATGGAACTCACTGAGCCAGACCACTTGGCCCCCAGACTTCAGTCTCCTTTCCAGTAGCAGAGTGAAGGTTTCTGTCTCACTGGCAGTCCAGGTGCCACTCAGTTGGAAATGCAGAAATCATCTGCCTTCTATGTTGACCTTGCTGGTAACTGCCCACCAGAGCTATTCCTATTCGGCCATCTTGCCAGCAGTCCTAATTTGTTTTGACTACAGTCTGAGCATCAATACACATATTAGCTGTTAGCAAGTTATATAATCAGTCTTGTTTTAGTTTTCTACCACAAGCCATGATTTACTTCAGAGGAGACTTTCTTAATTCTTCCTCATAAATAAGATAGGATTGAAGTTTAAATTTCATAGATATTTTTGTCCTAGACCCTCCCAGCATGAAGTTTCATTTTAGTATTTGTTCTTTATACAAAAACAGCTGAGAAAAACCGAGACAAAAAAGAACTTACAAGATAATCATGTTTTTAATCCTCTCCTGTTGATGAGTATGCTTTCAAACCCTTTTCTTTTATTGTAAGGTTGTTGTTTTATTGCTTTTGTGAGATCTTCATTTAATTCATATTTTTCTGCTAAAGAATTTAGTTACTGGCTTTGTCCTTGTGTGTGAGTGTAAGGATATATCCACTCTAGTATGATAGAGCACTGTACAGCACACTATAAATTAGTGTTTTTATACTGACAATAACTTAGTATACTTTGAAATGCAGAGTCCTTATATCATTTGACTCCCTACAACAAATCTGCCAAGTTGGAATTATCATCCTGTTTTATAGATAAGTAAATTGAGGGTTATAGAGGTTTTGTATCTTGTCCAAAATCTTAAATGACACATGTAAAACCCAACTTCATATTTTTCATATTACCATAGTTTCCATCCTATCTTCTTACTAATTGACTAGATTTATTCATATGAAACATTGGTTAAATGATACATAAAATGATAGTGTGTTACTCCAGCCACCTGTGATCTGATGCTTCAGGATGTTATTCACTGCTATGCAGTTTTCCTAACTTTGTAATCTTATTCGTCACAATAAAGTTATGATTCTGATGACTTCTTAATTGATACCTCTTTGTGGACAATTAGTACAGGTAATCATCTGTGAAAAATCTGAACATACGTCAACCATGGTTCTTACTATATGTTGTTCAGGCTGAGTTGGCAACTCTAGCACTGCTGTCTTTTTCTACATTGTCACTGCTTTATGTCCTGCTTTTTACTCTTAGGAATATATGTCTGTCATTTCATATTGCCAATTTAAGATCTTCCTCATAATTTTGAGTAGCTGCAGAATACTGTGCTTATGTTGAAAGTTTGGGTTGCTTAAGATTTTTCACAAATACAGACAACCCTGCCATAGATATCCTTTATACCTTTATTTGCATACTTATTTGGGGTTTTTTCTGGGAAAAAATTCCTAGATGGTATTGCTGGGTCCAAAGTTGTGTGTGTGTGTGTGTGTGTGTGTGTGTGTGTGTGTGTGTTTCTTTGCTTGTTTCTGATTTTATGGGGTTTTCTTTAGTCCTTTTAGTTCTTTCCATGTTGTAAAATTCTGCATTGTTTTAATTAGCATTTCTTTAACTATAAAGGACATTAAATATTTTTCACTTCTCTATTGGCCATTGTATTTTTTTTAAACTGCCTGAACTCTCCCATTTTTCTATCAGGGTTAGAATTAGTTTTTTCTTACATTTTTTCTAATTTGGATGTTAGTCTTTTCCTTTGTTAGACTTTCTTATAGTTTAAAGGCATTAATTTTTATGTACCGTTACATTTTGCAGATATATTTTATCAGTTAATTTGTCTTGTGTTCTTGATTTCACTAGAGTTTGATTTTTATATAGTCAACTTTTTTTGTCTCTATCACAAAATCATTTTTTTAAATTTATCTTCTAGTAGTTTTATGATTTTATTTTTAATTCTGAAATCCAGCTGCAAATTATCTTGATATAAATATTAAGATAGAAAACAATGACTTTATTTTTTTCCCAAGTGGTAAGCAGTTGTCTAATAACTTCTTTGAATAATCTGCCCTTTCTGGCATTATCCTTAATAAAGGATAATGAAAGAAGCAAGAGACTGGGAGAATAGGGAGATTATAGAGGAAAAGGCATTAAGATGTAGAGACTTGGGTGAGAGGCCTTTAAAATTGGAGTTTGGTTTTGGAGTTGTGTCCTTTCTCTACCTTGGAAACTTTTCACTGAATTGCAAAAAAAAGTGGAAGATTTGTACACGTTTTGTTAAGGAAAGACCTAAAAATAATACCACTAACATGAAATAAAGGAAGACTGTGAACTAGAAGGGTTATGGTGATAGTTGTGGTTGGACCTGTTTTTGTCTTCGAAGACTACCACTTGATAAAAGCTCACTGGTTATGTGATTTGCCTCCAAAAAAGACATCACAAACCTAGAAACTGCCCTACTTTTGGGAAGTTTGCAAGCAAGCCTAAATATCCAGGTAAAAATAGGAGGGGGTCTGAATTTGGCAGGATGAATGAGAGGAGTTCTGTCCTACCATATCTTCTTGCTGACAAAAACTGTTTCTTCCTGTCTTTCTTTTAGACCCAGGTTCTTCTGTGCTTTCTACCAAGAAGGTATTTTGACCTTAGAGGAAACTGGGATTTTGGCTTGCATTCTAGGATGTATTGGGTTCTTCCTTAACAAATCAGGTTGCAGACTTCCAATTGACTGACACAGTTAAGAAAAGCCAATTATTTCACTGTTCTGTGATTACTTCAAGTGTTTAACTTTTAGCTAATTTTCAAGAAAAAAATATGCTAAATTTTTACCCTGGAGTCCAAATTTACTGAAGTAAAATGTCATTGAATGTTATATTTTGGTAGAAATGTTGAAGGTTTATGTATTTTGGGTTTAGTTTTGTTTTGTTTTGATGTCTATTTACCATGATTACATTTTATTCTTTTCTTTAATGTAGGTTGTAACAAAGACCTTCCATGGTGCAGGCTTGGTTGTTCCAGTAGATAAAAATGATGTTGGGTACAGAGAGCTCCCTGAAACAGATGGTAATGTATTTCATATGTAAACACGTGTTATATATGTTATGCATATGGAAGAAGGTTTTGCTTATATTGGGAAGTAGGAATGTCCATATACCTTTTGTGAGACAGTCGCTAGACCTGAGTAATAAAGAGTAAGCTTAGGTTTTAGAGTCAGTCGTTACTGAACCAAAACTGAGTTTGTAGCTGTGTGGCCTTGAACAAATTATTTAACTCCATGAAACCTTGTCTTTTTCATACATAAAATGAAATTAATGATACTCACTTCATAGGGGAATTTGAGGTATAAACAAGTATTAAGATACTTAGCAAAATACTTGCCTCAGTGCTCAAAACTTGGTAGTTACTTTTAAGAATTTAAAGAATTTTAGCCTATTGCCTACTTTTTTGGAACTATTTCCAAACCTTTGACGTTACAGTCAACTTGCAAAATAGTAATTATTGAAATAGTGTTGTTTTTATGCTTCTTTGTGAACATTTTTTCATCTGCATGTAAAGTGATTTCGCTTTTAGAAGCCCAAGACCCTGAACTACTTCATCTGTAAGTATAAAAACACTTTCAAAATGGACGAATGCACATAATCTAGTTATTGCTGTCTTGAACACTGAGAATTAAAATCGCTTCTCAACTCTTCCCCTAGTCTCCATTCCCTTATTGTGAACAGCCCGGTTGGTATTCCTTTATTGATCATCCTGTTCTGGGGGATAAAACTTAAAGAGAAATCAAACTTAGCATCTTCTCAACATACATATTTAACCATCAGTTTTTCAGAACAGAACTAAGTAGCCTTGGTAGTTACTAGTCCCTGTCGTTCTGACCTGGACATGTGCATTTAAACCAGTTCTCTAAAGTAGTTCTTCTCAAATTTTACTGTGCAGAGTCTCCAGCCACATGGAGAGGTCTTAGATGGCAGCTATTCATATGGACCTGTTCTTGCTATAGCCCTGCCATTTAGAGGAGTGCTATAGGGAAGATGACTGTGGCTGAGCTATCCAGTGTGGTGGCCACTGAGTACCTCACATGTGGCTGCTGCAACTGAGGAACAAAATTTGTAACTTGTATTATTTATTTTCTACTTTTTTTTTTTTGGTGACAGGGTCTCACTTTGTCACCCAGGATAGAGTGCCGTGGCACAATTATCCTGTCTCAGCCTCCTGAGTAGCTGGGACTACACGTGTGCACCACCATGCTTGACTAATTGGTGTTCTACGCCACCCCCACCCCCCAGCCCCCCGTCTTAGAGACAGGGTCTTACTCTGTTGCCCATGCTGGTCTCAAACTCCTGGGCTCAAGTGATCCACCCACCTTGATACACCCACCTTGGCTTCCCAAAAGTGTTGGGATTAAAGGTATGAACCACTGTACCTGGCCTGTAATTTTGTATAATTTTAATTATGTTTGCAAATTAAAACAGGATTAAATGTTTCTTATATTGATTATATGGTGACTTAATACTATTGGATATATGGGTTAAATAAAATCTTAATTTCACCTGTTTTTAATTTTTTTTTAGTTCCTCCTCCTCCTGTTTCACCTGTTTCTTTTTTCATGTGGATATTAGACAAAATGTAGCCCATATTTTCTCCTGGATAGGCTGATCTGCCCTGTATCTCCTCTTTGAAGCCAGAGGCAATTAGTCTCTGATGGGACCAATGTGGGCTCTGGCTACTTACTGGTCAGTCTTCTGCTTCTACTCTAAGTCATCTTCTCTTCCTGTTTCTGCTCACAGAGAGTTTTAAAAATCATGATTACTATCTCATTTGGGAAAGGTTGAGCACATTTGTTACAGAGATGGGCAGTCTCCAAAACTTTTGGTGTGATAGATGTTAAATTGTATCCTGGAGTAAAGCCTGTTACCACTACTGGTAGTTGTGGTCGGTTCTGGGGTTTTATGTCCAAGTCTAATATTCTAGGCATTAGATCCTTCTGTATTTAATTAGTTTTGAAGTGGTAGCAAAACATAACAATGATGGACCTAATCTTGCTCTTATCTAGTGTCATTTGCCAGGAGGTATAATTGACTGGCAGTTTGTTAATGTGACAATGATTAGCAAATCACAGTTAAGTTTGTTCTTAATCCTTTGAAGCTTCTTACAGTAACACTTTAACTTAGCAAATAAGATATCTTTATTGAGCAATTCTTAAATGTCAGTGTCATTCACTATAACAAGTGATGTACACGTATTTAATTCTCACCCAACTCTTTAAAGTAGATCTTATTCCTATGTTCACAAAGGAAATAGACCCAGGCCCAGGGTGCTCAGCATTAGTCAGTAATAGGGCTGGTTTTCTTTTTTTCTTTTTTTTTTTTAAATGAAGTTTTGCTCTTGTAACCCAGGGTGGAGTACAGTGGCAGGGTTTCAGCTCACTGCAACCTCTGTCTCCTGGGTTCAAGCAGTTCTCCTGCCTCAGCCTCTTCAGTAGCTGGATTATAGGCACCTGCCATCCCACCCAGCTAATTTTTGTGTTTTTAGTAGAGAAGGGGTTTCACCATGTTGATCAGGCTGGTCTTGAACTCCTGACCTCAAGTGATCCACGTACCTTGGTTTCCCAAAGGGCTGGGATTACAGGCATGAGCCACCATGCCCAGCTGAGGGGACTGGTTTTCATACTTGGCTTTCTCACTGTAGAGTGCATGCTACTACCCAAAGTAAGAAGAGTTGCCTGCCTAGCTGTCTGATTTTTTTACCTTGACACAACCACTGTAGCTTAATTTAAGTATTCTGGTTGATAGTAGTGGCAGGGATCATAAGAATTAAGCAGTGAAACTGCTAACTTATTATATTAAGTATTTTGAAACATTTAAGCCTTCATTTCTGCATAATTTAAGGCTTCATTCATGTTCTTTAAGTTTGGGCTTCAGTTAAATGAAATTTCTGTAGAATGTTTTATTGCTGGAAGAACATATATTTCCTTGTACTGTTGCTGAGCTGAATATTTTCATCTCTGTTCTTGTTTTTCTAGCTAAATAATTCACATAAGTTGCTTATACTTGTTAGTCCATTTGTGACTCAGCAGGTGTAAAAATGGAAAGTATGATACTGAAAAGTGATAAACTTTTAAATTATTTGCTAAGAGAAGACAAATAGATCTTCACTTCCATGCCCACCCTGATTTGTAGTGGCTGCCTGGAGCACTGTAAGAGATTCTAAGGGTCTCAATCAATCTGTTACACCCATGGGTACAGGGAGGATCCACTATTTTCCATCCTTAAGGAGCTTTTTGGAGAAAGCCTCATCTGTTTCCTTGGAATGGTCAACACTTGATTTTTCTAAAGAAAGGAAGGTCATGAAACTTATGTAAAATGATTTAATTTTTAAAAGGTTTCAAACCAACAAATACGTGACTACTGTTTATAGAAGGTTAGAGATATAGGTGGCGAAATTTCCCATTTGTTCAGTGTGAGACTACTAATCTACCAAAAGTGGGAAAGAGAACAAAACACATTTTGTGACTCGGGTAGCAGTGTGTATTCTATGCTGTCGTCAGGACTGAATCAAATGATATTCATAGACTAGAGCTAAAAGCCCTGGTATATAGTATATTTTTATAATATCCTTGGTAATCTTTTTTCTTTTTTGGTTTTATACTTTAAGTTCTGGAGTACATGTGCAGCACGTGCAGGTTTGTTACATAGTTATACACGTGCCATGGTGGTTTGCTGCATCCATCACCCTGTCATCTACATTAGGTATTTCTCCTAATGCTATCTCACCCCTAGGCCCCCACCCCCCAACAGGCCTCAGTGTGTGATGTTCCTCTCCCTGTGTCCATGTGGTTTCATTGTTCAACTTCCACTTATGAGTGAGAACATGCAGTGTTTGGTTTTCTGTTCTTGTGTTAGTTTGCTGAGAATGATGATTTCCAGCTTCATCCATGTCCCTGCAAAGGACATTAACTCATCCTTTTTATGGCTGCATAGTATTCCATGGTGTACATGTCCCACATTTTTTTATGCTGTCTATCATTGATGGGCATTTGCGTTGGTTCCAAGTCTTTGCTTTTGTGAACAGTGTCGCTTTTGTGAACGTCTTTGCTTTTGTGAACAGTGCTTTTGTGAACACATGCACACACATATGTGTGCATGTGTCTTTATAATAGAATGACTTATACTTCCTTGGGTATATACCTAGTAATGGGACTGCTGGGTCAAATGGTATTTTTGGTTCTAGATCCTTGAGGAATTGCCACACTGTCTTCCGTAATGGTTGAACTAACTCCCACCAACAGTGTAAAAGCGTTTATATTTCTCCACGTCCTCTCCAGCATCTGTTGTCTCTTGACTTTTTAATGATTGCCGTTCTAACTGGCATGAGATGGTATCTCACTGTGGTTTTATTTTGCATTTCTTTAATAACCAGTGATGATGAGCTTTTTTTCATGTTTGTTGGTGCATACATGTCTTCTTTAGAGAAGTATCTGTTCATATCCTTCGCCTACTTTTTAATAGAGTTGTTTTTTTCTTGTAGATTTGCTTAAGTTCTTTGTAAGTCCTGGATATTAGCCTTCGGTCAAATGGGTAGATTGCAAACATTTTCTTCCATTCTGTTCACTCTGATGATAGTTTCTTTTGCTGTGCAGAAGCTCTTTAGTTTAATTACATCCCATTTGTCAATTTTGGCTTTTGTTGCCATTGCTTTTGGTGTTTCAGTCATGAAGTCTTTGCCCATGCCTATGTCCTGAATGGTATTGCCTAGGTTTTCTTCTAGAGTTTTTAATGGTTTTAGGTCTTACATTGAACTCTTTAATCCATCTTGAGTTAATTTTGGTATAAAGTATAAAGAAGGGATCTGGTTTCAGTTTTCTGCCTATAGGTAGCCAGTTTCCCCAACATCATTTATTAAATAGGGAATCCTTTCCCCGTTGCTTGTTTTTGTCAAGTTTGTTAAAGATCAGATGGTTGTAAATGTATGGCATTATTTCTGAGGCCCCTGTTCTGTTCCATTGGTCTATATATATCTTTTTGGTACCAGTACCATGCTGTTTTGATTACTGTATCCTTGTA